TCCCATGTACAATCACCCCTAAATATGTGACAATACTGTGGGTTTTCACCCATTATTAAAGCATCCAAGGCATGACGATCACCACTTGTCTCCAGCAAGTGTCTTCATGATGTGGTGGTGAGTTCAGCATAAGGGCAAATTTACCTGTATCTCACCACACAAGTTACACAATTATATACTGAAACAAGATGTTCTGCATTGTTGTCATTTTATTACTATTACCACCAATTTTTCTAATAAGTTAATGCAACACAAATGACATACCAAGTTTTCAAACATCTACTGCCATGCAAAAATCTGAAGAGCTATAGAGGCTAGGGCTGTTCCCACCTTACACTTGAACATGCTGGAATTATTGATGGCAAAGTGGCTAGCTAGCCGACTAACTTCGAGGAACATGAGTTTCATTGCAATGTTGTTGTCACCTCGTTGGGGAGGGGGGATCTATTTTTAAGAAACCTGAAAATCCAACACTGTGTTCACACTAGCTCACCATTAGACTTCTCTTGAATTAATTCAATGCAGTTCCCACCTTCACTATGGTTTTAATAAGTTTCTATTATCCTTACATCTCCATCCCCTAACTGTTCTATTCCCTAGAGGTCCACAGATCAAAACTGTATATGTACCAGTATTTATCATTCGTCCCATGCTACATGTCGTACTCATCTCACCTTCCTTCATTTAACAATCTGAACAGTGGTAGGTGAAATGTGCAAATTATGAAATTTTGAGTATGTTTTAAAGTACCAAAGAGGAAAGGATTGCAGAAAAAACAGTTACTTTGGGAACCTAGAATTTTAAATTAGAATAGTTGGTCAACTCTTAACAGGTTTCAGACTATGGCGTATATCAAAACTAGAAGTACCATTTTGGACATTGTCAATCGTCGTTGAGTTTTTCCAACTGGCCTTTCAGAAACTGGCATTCTGTTCTTGCCTGGTGTAAGGGGGAAAGGTTCCTATTGCATTCAGCCCATTGTAGAGGGCCAATGGAATTGGACCTCCTCCCCAATAATTGCTGATGGAAACAATCAGTTTCCAAAACGCGGTGGTTTGAAAAGGCCCAAGACAATGGACAATGTTCAGAATAACAGTTCTAATTACAGAACAGCTAGTGCCTCATTCAAGATTCAGCAAGGATCCCTCCCTTCTTTAAATCACATGTGTTGATTTTCTGAGAAGTAGTGGGTTTGGAACGGAGTCCGCTCAGCCTCGTGTAGATAACTGATGAGCTATTTCACAAAAATAGCAGCTACGGTCTAGAAAACCGAGATTAACGGCCATGGGGATCCGTTGCGCTGACCACGCGACACCCTCTATCTGCTAAAGTTGGCATTAACTTTGCCGACAAGCGGCAGTTGCTCGGTCGGTATAGTTCGCCTGCGGACTACAGGCCACGGAGTTTGATTTTTGTTGGTGTAGAATTTACATGTCAGGTGAACGCTAAAATGAATACATAAACCAAAAAGAGACGACCCAACAAAGAAGTAAGAAAACTATGATATGTACTGTTTGGTTGAATGTGTAGAATGTAGGCCTACTGACAAAAATGAGTTATCACATAATAACTGAGAAACATTATGCAGATGCAATTCAGACAAAACATAAATGGGTGACTAATATGAAAACTGACACTATGGAAAGAGATTGCAGGATTGTGAACTGGACTGAAACGTTAATGCATAGGGTTTAATGAAGAACGTCTGTGGTTACAAGGATGAATATTCAAATTCTATAACAATGGGAACGGTATTAAAATAGCTAAATAACTGTCATCTGTCCTGGGGGTTTAGATGAGAAATGTTAGGAGATCATTTCACTCGAAGTCCTGTAATGTGACATCCTCCCAGATACCGGCAGCAACACAGCAAAACTGCTTTGTCAGCAGCTGATGTAATGTGTGCTCCTGATGAGCACAGACGAAAAACATGCACTGACAACACAATCGGAAGCAGGACTTGCGCGCTGACCAAGTTCCTGGGTCCTATTTAGTTACCACTGCGTCCAAGAACATTCCGCATCTGTTTATTCTATACTGGAACTGCATACACATTACATGGAATATCAGTCTGCTGTAACGCCTGTCAGCATTTTTAAATAGTGCAACACTGTCACACAAGGGCATTTCCCTTACAGAATTCAGTCTTAAGAAAACGGCCTAGTGGAATTTGGTTCTCCTGTACATACAATGTAATTTTCGGCTGAAACCCAGGTATATCCGATTTGATCCCTCCTTCCAGCACCATGTAGGGCCACATTTCCTATACTAAATTCTGGGGCTTTATTAATTTTACAATACAATTTTAGTAAAAATTACAGTGTAAAAAAAAAGCTATCCGGGTAACGGGCCGTGGAAGCCCATAGGGTTGTGAGATGTCGAGGCTCCCGCATTTTCAAGACAATCGGCTTAGAGATGGCGGTGCAGTTACAAGCCTTATGCGCTGGCCGGCACTCCTTTACCCCCTGGAAGGCACCATGAGGGGGGGGGAATACTACGTGTAAATCATCACTTTTTATCAATTTCAATATGCAGACAACACAAAACTTTCAATGTACAATATACAATGCGAACCTCTCAAATCCTGCATTCCATGGCTTGGCACGAGTTCGGCTCGAAGTCCAGTACCCGTACTTAAACTACCCTCTATGTAATCTTTTTACGTTTCCTCTCAATACTTCATAACTGTGTAACAAGCCTAACATGTTATGGCATGATGACCTATTTAGATGTTTTGGTGCTCTAATATACTGACCACATGTGGTTCGGAAAATTCTCTGCTCCGGTTCCTGCCTGTTTCCAAGGGTTCCGGAGTGTGATGTCCGACCTTTGCTTTCACGATGGTTACTACAACCGAGAATTCACGTAGTTTTCTTGCATTCACAGAGGACGTGGACCTCGTAAAAAAGTTGAACTAGCGTAGTGCATGGCATGGCTGATAGTTTCATACTGTTCTCCTGAAACGGCATGTTTGCGCGATAGTTACTTAAACATTTAACGTAGATGGAGGTGTAAAGAAGGGAGAGGAATGACTATACAACAAGTAAAGCAAGTAAAGATGTCCCTGTGCTTAATTAAACACCATGCCATTAAGACGTACTATGGAGTGGAAGTATAACTCCACCATTTTTGTTGACCTCAGCATTATACAGTGCTGAGTGGTCAGCCTCACTTTCTTGATGCTTCACCCCCGGTACCCACTGGACAGGAGACTGGGTGGACCCCAGAGCCTGTCCGGACGTTGTGAAGAGAAACATCTTGCCCTGGCGGAAATCTAAGCCCGCCTGTACGGTCCATAGTCTGCCGCTATACCGACTGGGCTATCCCGCGTCTACTATGACAGAAGTAACGGACGCAAAGGTAACTGTAAAAATGTCCCTGTGCCTAATTAGACACCAGATTACGTAGACGTATGGGGGAATGGAGGTATAGCTCTACGAATTAACTTTGGCACTACATTGAGGCCAGTCATCAGCTTTATGTCCTGGCCGCTTTTCCTCAGAGGAAAGAGGCCCTGGTACCCACTACATAGGAGGATGAGTAGGTCCCACAATCGGTCCGAAGGCTGTCCCCGCCTGGAATCAAATCCTAATTCCTCAGTAAATTTGCGAGTAGATCGTTCAAAAGTCAGTGTACCAAACATCAGTGTCCGTTACTGTGGTAATATAGCATCAAACGACTGCACAGTCGACATACTTATTTTTGGAAATAAAACTTCCATAGGTACATTTGTCTTTATCTCCAGTCGCATGAAATTGCATGCAGCCTGTCAGTTATCGCTACAGAATCAGAACCGAATATTCATTTCATGCTGTCGGTTTGTTGCTACTTTTTCATCACAAACACACGTGCACAAAATGATTTGCATAAAACCTAGAGTCATGTAGGTAACTAACTCCAAATGTTATACAGAGACCTGTACTGGTTTTAAACTTAAAAACTTATTCTCAGCGTCAAGAAGATAAATAAACGCGTTCCTCTCACAGTGGATCGTTCACTAAAAACGTAACATGGAATCCTGAAGCTATACGCCAGCATAAACACGGCTTAACAAAGAATCACTACTCTGAGCCATTCTTACATTCCGATGTCATTACATAAGAGGAATTCAATTCTTCAGAGGACCTTTCCCTCCAGCGCCTATGCCGCTAAGTCCAAATGTACTCCAACTGGGCACGGCTGAAGACTAAGTAAATGAAGCAAGTGCTGGACTTCCTTTCAGCTGTAAAGTTGAAACATTTTTCGATACAGTGGTACCTCGATCTATGACTTCCCGACTTACGATCTCGTTAAATTAACACCTTTACACTTACGCTCAGAATTATCGGACTCACGGCTTGCAACTCGAATTTCGGACTATTTTCATTCATGGGGTTGGTGGAGATTAGTGGGCCTACTATAAGCGCCATGCATAATGATGAGTATGGAGCAAGGAACAGTTGGTGTAATGAGAACACGCAGAGGAAACTGACGTACTACGAGAAAGCCTGTCCTAGTGCCACTCTGTCAACCATATATCCCACATGACCCGATCTGGAATCAAACTCGGGTCGCCTCGATGGGAAGCCGGTTACAATTTAACGCTGTAAACTCTTAATTAACTTACTTATTTCAATAGTTTAAATGTTTACAACTGTGTTACTTAATGCCTCCTTACTGATTTAATAAGAAAAACAATGCCGTTACAGCGTTATGGTGGCTGAAATACTGAAAAATGCGTCTGAGCTTCAGAAACATAACCTTATACGGCCCACGTTACAATGAACTCGAGTTACGACTCGGGTCGTGCAGCCGCATATAAGGAAAAACAACGGCACAACTGTGTACCCAACAACAGACAGTCCTGTATCTCAGCAATTTCTTTTCTGCCACTATACAGCATGGAGTATACACTTCCGTGTTTGTACTGTTCTGTATATGTAAATCAGATACGGCAGATGCGATGCAATGCCATTATATCAGAAACAACATTACATAATTAATCCAAACACTCCATTTACCTTACTGAAAACGCCTTCATCCGATGAGGACCGCTGAAGATTCCGAGAGATGCGTTTGCCGGCTCTAGGTCCAGTTGTGGCTCGAACAAATGTCTTGGTTGCGGTAAACGTTGCGACACCCCATTTTTTCAGTTGTGGACGATTCTGTTTTAAAGATACCCTTGAGATAACCATCGTACTTAGGTATAGCAATATAACTTAAAACACGTTTTTAGACAGTATTCACAAAGACCACTACTGGGGCCAGCACAATGAACGGCTTCATGAGAGAAGGGAAAGTGATTCAGGAAACAACTTGTCCGCAAATGTGATAACGCAAACCGATAACATGTGTCTGACGTTCTGTTCTACCGCCTCACTTTACAAGCTACGTACGACACTAGCCTATCAGATTACACCTCTAGCAAGATTAAAGATGGTTTAGTTTTTAAGGGGGTTTCGATAATTCTTATGCTCTACGGAGCAAATCTTCGCCCTTACTTGATATCCTAAAATACAGCAATAAGAAATCTATCAAGTGCAGTTTCTATGGTTTTATAAGCAAGTTGTATGAGTATAGAATCTTTAGGGCACATTCACGTTTATATATGTTTTGTCTAGAATGCACTGCTTGTACATCACCTCTTGAGTAACCAAACATTTAATCTGTGGTATGAATGATACGAGTCGTCGAAGCATAAAATGCAAAATTTAAGGCTTTAATGTTTACAATACAAGTTAACCATATCACTTTGCACAAATTATTACGGAACTGGAAGAGATTAAAATGTTTATTAATAGATTTCAGATGTCACTACTATTTCTGTTGGATGCTCTTCCTACAATCTCGTTATTTCCCAGTCTTTACTAGAGGGAGGTTCTTACCTTTGTCGACTTGTTCAAGGCTCTGCGCTTCACGGAGACCGGTGAACCGCCGAGTCCGAGACGCACACGAATTTTGCCGATGAAGCAATATGCCCGTAAGTAGATACGTTCGAAGTGAAGTAGTTACAAATTAAAAAATCACATATACCGTTGAAAACACGTAGGCATTTCTCGCATCGGTGGAAAAGGTCTCAATTTACCGTCCTGAAGATGCTCTGCAGGAATTTTTGAAATTTTCCTACGAATGTTTTCTTTCAGTTCTTCCGTTCGAGGGTTACTGCTGTAAACTTTGTTCTTCAAACAACTTCAGCAGAAGAAATCACAAGGATTAAGATCAGGTGAACGTGCTGGCCAAATACCACTGCTGATAATTCTGTCCCCGGAGACATCAGAGAAAGCCTGCACAGACATGCATGCAGTACGGGTAGCATATGAGTCTTGCTGAAACCAGCCATTGTCTTTCTTCTTCTGTTAACCCTGGAAAGAACTGCCCGAAAATGACCTGTACATTCTTTCACAATTTTTTCGTTAAAAAACACAGGTCCAACAATTCTTCTTGCACTTACAGCACAACAGACACCAACTTTCACTGGATGAAGCATGACTTCATGGATTTGATATGGATTCTGTTATCACCAGTAATGATTGTTTTGCGTGTTTATGTATCCCTGCAAGTGAAACCACGCTTCATCAGAAAAGAATGTCAATTGCCTGTCTATCTCACATTCGACGATAGACTCTATGAACCAACTGCAAAAACGAACCCTGCTAGCCGGATCGCGTGGCTGCAAGGAGTGGATTACCGTTGTTTTATAGGGTCTAAGCTTCAGCAATTGCCTTGCCCTTCTTGCACTAGATTTTGACACTCCAGTCTTTGGAGCTAGACGTCTAAGTGGTTTTCTAGTTCTATGTTCTAGTCTGGCTCCTATGTTATCAAACTTTTCCTCAGTAACACTCGGCGTTTACGTTTTTGTGTCTTGTTTATTAGTAGTCCCATTGATCTAAGTTTATTCATCAAACTGTGAATTGCTTGTCTGCTGGGAACTCTTTTTCGTCACGAAATTTATGTCGAAATTTCGTATTTCACTGAGCACTCCTCTTCAAGCCAAAGTACACCATAACAATTTGCCGAATGTACTAGCACAGATTGCAAATAAAATGGGACTATATAAAAAAAAAGGTAGGTGTCATACGGAAATAATACACGTTGATCTAAATTATACCGCACCACAATGGGACACACTGATTACTAATGGTAACTGAGAACAAACGGCTAATGGAGCTGATAACTGCCCATCACTTATAACAAATCATAAACAAATTCGCATGCATGAACCGCAATGCTCGCCGTGAAACATAATGTCATCAGGCGGCCCACAAAGTTAATTACTTCCCTTCATTCCAAACGTTATCGGCCATCAGGCATGGTGTTTCTTTGGCAAAATTCGTAGGCGCCTCGCAGCCGGCGGTGCACCGATCACCGTGAAGCGCAGAGCAGTGAACCAGTCAACAAAAGTAAGAACCTCCCTGCATATTAAATGGCTATTTCAATAGCCTGAATAATCAACAGAAGAATTCATCTCTTTTATGTCTGCCTACGTTCCTTTCTTAAGGGAAGACAGTTTGGAACTGAATGAGAAGTGGAAGGACGCCGCAGTTACCTAATTTATAGTAACATCCCGGTACTTAACTGAAGGAACTGAGGAAAAGCACGAAAAGCCTCAGTCATAACAGATGGTCTCCGTGTCGTGATTAAAAAGGTCTGGCAGGACCTTTCAAAGACGGAGTGTTAACTACTCGACTGCGACATACAGAAGACATACTCGTACATAAAATGCGAGCAGCAATTTATATTGGTACATCACAAACGTTTGAAGATTCTACGATCGTCAAAAATGGTTAAGAAGAAAAACAACCCGATATTAAACAGCATTCACAACTTTGAAGAATACACACAACACTGATTGAAAAATGACACATTTACTCTTAGAGATGACAATCATGGCTCTATCAATAAATATAAACTTCAAACCCAAGCTGCTATACCACAATACCATACCGACTTTTATAAACCCAAGTCCCCAAATTGCATCAACCTCTTCATCCGTTATATTGCGACATCGAGAACGACTCATCCTTCTCCGAAGACTTGGCTGATCCAAACAGCCTGTACTTTTTTATTGCTAGTGGGGTGGGACTAAGTCCCTTGTACTGCGGCCACTTCTGGCCTACTGTACCAAAATAGCCTGTAAATTAAAAACGTCCCATGTTGTGAAGTCACAGACATTAAATATGTACGTGTAGAGTAAGATCTGCTTGTAGTACAATTTAACATGACCTGAAAATGATTTTCTTTCATATTGTGGTGTATACACCGGTTGCTAAGCGGTGACTCTGTAGACAGCGGCCGTTAATAGGTAACGCCCGAAACAAAAGAAGAAATGTTTTCAAAGGGGTCCGTGTCAACATGTTATAGCCAGGAGTTTTGGAACTTAAAGACACATGTCAGTGAGTTCTGTACGGTAGTCTGTGAAGAAAGGATTTCAGCCGGAGGCAGAAAAATAACCACTGTTAGAGTCATTACCAGAAAACGTATAGTAACACACTGAAAACATTAGACTGTGTGCTCTAGTGAACTGTAAAGTGTTGAAATGGCGATAGTGTTATAGTTATTTGTAGTTGCGACCTGTAAGTGGTCAATAAATCTAATCACCAATCCAAACCTCGTCTACAGCTCCACATACTATGTGATAATATTTCCGTTCAACGAAGATAAAACTAAAAGACGACTAAAATCACTGCACAATATCCCCCCCCCTTACCAAATAATCGTCCAAACGACATACCAGAGACTACCGTACTACATTACACTACACTGCACTACACTGTTACTGAACGGTACACATCTTCAGTCTCCCCCCCTCTTCCTCAGCAGTCCTAACAAAATGCAATTTTATTATACAGTAATTACACTTACATTCTTTCACGTACGCAATCACCCTGCTCTTTAATGAATGTGGCCAAACGTTCAACAGTTTCCTGATTCCACCATCCTAACATACTTTTGGGTGGATCGTACGCCATTCTACCACCGCTTTAAACTAATGTCACGTCCAGTTTAACCAATCCCGATTCTGGAGTTGTCCGGGCTACGTTTATCATCCTGCTCCCTAACCTCACTGCATGTTATTGTCAGAAAACCAATAACAACACTCTTCCGTTGCTTATCCTTCACTCTTTCGTAAACTTCCTGCTGGCTCACACCGAACTCTTATTCTTCTGTAATTTGCACTAGGTTCCACATATACCAGCCACAAAAGTTGGTTTACAGATCGTTGTTCCCCTTTCGTGTCTTCCTTTAGTCGAGCAGAAAAAAAAGTCTTACTTATCAGCACAATTTAAGACAATACGTGCAAACGTAGGTACGTTCATATGCATACATTAGCCACACCTTTCCATCTTGCCAACGTCAATTCTGTGCCAATACGACTGCCTTCAATTCTTTACTTTCCCTTCTATTCTGCATACTCTTGTCGATCGTCAGGTATATTTCTTTCCTTTTTGTGACAAGAATGTTCATTCATGGGAAAACTTCATGAAGAAGAGTACGGTACCATTAACTATCGAGTACTACATTCATGGTAAAAGACTGGATCGAAATTTGACACACTTGAGAGCAGCTCTTTGTATGATTACAAAAACGGGCGATTTGATACTGAAATGAATTTGAATACTTGATAGTTCATGCGCACTTTAAGACTGCTCTACTTTAAGATATTCTACAAATAACCACTTCTGAAGACGCGCTAATTTAAATGCTCGTCTAAGACGTATTTCAGCACGTACCAGTCACTCAGACGGGTCTAAAATGAACTGAATTCCATAATATATTGCCAAGAATTTGGTTTTAGAAACGCAAACTTCTACATTTATAATCTAGTGCAAATGTAAACAATTCTAAATGATCTAAAGATCTGCAAATTCACATATTCGTGGACAGAAGTACTTTTAGATGGTTTATATTCTATTTTGTCAGCGAAGTTCCACTAAGATACTATCTATGTATCTATGGCTCTACAGCTCCTTGTCAGAGCTTGGCCGCTTTTTCAGTTTCTTGATCTCTCCACTAAGATACTGGAGAGTCTAAATGAAAGTGAATTCGGATAAACCTCACAGTTCACCGCTCATTAAAACATGCTGCTCACCCGTCTCCTTTTGCCTTCCGATCTGTACCTCATCCTCTGGCACCCACTGAATCAGTCCAGCAGTGAAGTGGATGA